AAATGAATCAACAATTATTACTGATTGTTGGTATAAAAAGGATTTGATTTGAATGAAATATATAACAAAAAACACATTTATATAAATATGCAACACATAATATATACTTTGTTATGAAGGAATTGTGTTATACTATAATATATTCCCTTGTATTTATACTATAATATATTCCCTTGTATTTATACTATAATATATTCCCTTGTATTATACTATAATATATTCCCTTGTGTTATACTATAATATATTCCCTTGTGTTATACTATAATATATTCCCTTGTGTTATACTATAATATATTCCCTTGTGTTATACTATAATATATTCCCTTGTATTTATACTATAATATATTCCCTTGTATTTATACTATAATATATTCCCTTGTGTTATACTATAATATATTCCCTTGTGTTATACTATAATATATTCCCTTGTATTTATACTATAATATATTCCCTTGTGTTATACTATAATATATTCCCTTGTGTTTTATACTTTATATAAAATAATATAAATGACAAGCCTATCATGATTCAATAACAGATCACGTTTAGTTAATAATAATCAACGCCTGGAGCAGTCACCTACTGATTGGCTGGTCCCACCCTGATTACTATGATATCATTCTAGCCCTGGGGTTGGTGGTCATTATTATTCTTTATTTAAAACAATCATACTTGACTTTATCACTTATAGAAACACAAACACTTTTAATAGATGTTTGGGTAGGGCTGAGAGTTTACGAGGGGGGGAGGGGTAGGGAGGGCTGTACCCTGTATATCTCCCTACCCCACCAACCAAACATTCAGCACAATTACACAAATAAATAGATCTTCAAAAATTGTCTATCAGCTTGTTTTATTTATAAACTTTGTCATCAGGTGTTGCATGAAGCAGACCATGCTTACTCTTTTCATAACACCTCATGGCACTTCTCTTTGGAGGAGTCCACTACTATACAACTCTTGATTTTGCCAGACTTTGAACAAGATTTTGAAATAACGGAAATGGCATACTTGTAGGCTACAGATTTTTTTAAAAATAATTAATAAACTTTGTCAATCAATATGTCCACAACTTGTTTTAGAAAAATTGATAAAGGCAGATCCAAAATAGTTTTGAAACAACAACTTTGTATCAAATGAGGACAAATTAAATTATGGTTTGTAAGAAAATTGTTCACTGGTTCATAATGCATTTGATCAATGATATGTAAAAACTAAATTATTAACTGTACTGTGACAGGAATCTAGTCTTGTATTGGCTGGAACTGTTCTATTATATACAGTCATTAAACTAATTTCTATTTCATGTCTGGTTATGTTTTTATGTTGGTATAATTATAGTAATTGTGTTGTAAAGGTGTGAAAGTTGGACAGAATAGAAAATAAAATAGAAATATTGATCTGTATCAATTATCATAGTGATAACAGTTTTGTTGTTTTCGTTGACGACTTGAAATGTTTAGGCTATATATTTCAACTGTATTTTCCTCTGGTTTTCTATATCTAACTGATTATTGATTATTGATTATGAATGTATTGGTATAAATTTACTATTAAAGGAATAATACCTCTTAGAAGTCTCAAACTTGGTCATTAAGTGTATAATATTCATCAGTTAGATTTACCAGGTATCATGACTAAAGAATAGAATCTCTATATAAGATAATATATTCATTAAACTAAGTAATTATTGAAATACACTTCTAAACGAGTTTCGAACTTACTTCGTTTAGTTTTTTCAATTTTGTTGTCATCATAAAAGAAGCATACCTACAACCTCGTGTTCATTACAATTTCTTACAACAGAACAGATGAATTATGTGTAATATAAACAGGCCAGCAGCAAAGGTAGTCTCAGTATGGTTCTCAGAATAGACTCAATAAATCTGACACGGGATATTGTCTTGATTTTAATTGTAAAATCATTTTGGATGAATCAATCTGTTAGTCTGAATGACATCCATTGTTGATTAAACTTCCTTTAAACTGCCCCCCTAAAACAACAGTCTATTGTTATAAATCCAATGGGTGTTATGAAAGATACTCTCCTATAGAAGCACTGGCCAAAGTCACAAGAAGACGGCATAAATTTCATGTCTTAAAACACAACAATTAAACTTAAAACAGTCTAGTATTATACTTCTAGTGTTATTGAAGATATTCTCTTTTAAAAGCACTGGCCAAGGCCATAAGAAAAAGGAGCTAAATTATTTTCACATTAAGTAATAAAGATTAAATTGAATGAATTATACACACATAGACAAAATATATACAATAAATAAACCTAAAACTGTCTTCTAGAAGTAAAATTGCTTGTGAATACAAAATACCAGAAATTTAAAAAAAAGTGTCAACTCTCAGTATTAATAGTGATGACACTGACTACTGTTTCTATTGTCCAGTTAAGAATGTTATTTTATCACTGTCCTGTCTCCCCAGACACTTTCTGTCTTATTTTAACCATGGATGGTAATTGTCTATTAGCACCTTATTTTACACTTAGTTTGTCTGGTGTCAAAACTCTTAATGGCCTAAGGATTGTCTAATATTTTGACTGTTACAATATTTAGTCTGATATAGAACTCAGTGGTATTGATTTATTTTGTTATTACTGTATTTCATCATAATGCCAAAAGGACACCAATTTGTATTGGGGTGTATTGAGACAATGAAAGCACTGGCCCAGGTCGCAGACCAATAGATTCTTTTTATTAATAAGATCTGAATATTTGATTATTTTGTCTAATAGTTTTATTATGTTGGTATTTTTTCTGATGTCTGGTCAGAATGATGTTAAAACTAAGCATCTCCAGTCAAATGTCTGAATATTTTCATAGGCAGGTACAACTAGGCTTTGTAAAAACAAGGTGATTAAGAATAAAGTTTTGTGTAAAGTTGAACCAATCTAGGACTGGAACACCTGGTTTCAGAAAGACTATAAAATAATTATAACTCTAAACAAGAATAGCTCATTTGTTCATATTGTTATACTCCCTGCTGATATCTCTTTCTACAAAAACAAGGAAGACTTGTTAAGGAAGGCTGATCTATTTAAAGTTCTGGACACCACTGTTTTAAATTATAGAAAGGCAGAAAATTGGGGAGGGGGGGTCTTTAAATCTTTTTGAAAATAAAGTTCCTAATACTTGAAGTGTTAACGCTGTGACAGGAGGGGAGGGGGGTGTTATGATAGCAGGAGTCTTCTCACCTATAAGTAGGCCTAATGGTACAACTGAAATGAAATGGTGTGAAGTCATAAGTTTACTCTGTTTACCTTTCCTAAAACAATTTCTAAAGGTTGAAAGAGAGAAGGGAGTAGTCACCCTTCAGAATCATTTTTAAATGCTCTCCAAGCTAAGGCACCCACGCTACCTTCACAAAACCCCATACATAGCTCTTGGAACCCTCTCCGTCCCCCCTTTTTTCTCCCATTTTGGGACTCCTCAGTGGTCTGTGACTGTATAAACCAATCCCATTGTCCACTATCAATTGACTTGAGATTTATAATCATTATAAGAGGATTAAAGTTATAATCTGCTCAGACCACTCAGGACTGAGGTAGGCTGGATTAACTAGTCCCCAAAACCACAAATCATTTGGTATAGTCTGGAACATCTTCCCCCTAGACTACATTGAACACTATAGATACACCCTTGATTAATGAGTAGGCTTGATTAACTAGCCCAAAAGTCTGGTTAGACAAGTCAAGTTCCAAATGATTGAAAAGTCTTGAACAACTAGCCCACATGTTGACCACTAAAATTTGGATAAATTGATACTTCTTAAATATTGGTACTTAAATCCAAAATTAATGAATAGATTTGATTAGGCCACTGATATAATAGCCAAACCCTTGATGACTGAGTAGACCTGATTAACCAGCAAAACTCTTGACCACTAATAAATCTGATTTATTGATACAAAGGATCCAGATTAGTGAGTAGGCTTGGTTGACCAGCCCACCTATTGACCTACCTATATCAATATATATATAAAGCCTGAGGGCTGGAGGGTGTGTGATTCAGTATCTTACCTATCACTTGGTCATCTCAGTATAAAGAAACACATAATTACTCTGCTGGATGGACTTGTCCGAACTGGTCATTTTACAGTCTTGACATTTTATAATGTGGTTAAAGGATTATTAAGTGTATATTTAATGAGATTTGAGATCAGAGTCTAGTTATAACAGTCTGTGTTCAAATCATTACAACAAGTTAATGTGAAATTTTATTTTAATTGGACTGCTGGACTCATTTCATGTTTACCTTTTGATTTTGTCGGCTTCAGATTATAGACTTCAATGATATTTAGAAGTGAGGAGTAGAAATCACAAACACAAGACAATATATTAAAAACACTTCTTTAATGAAATTAAGACTTTTGGACGGATATTTAAAGATTGTGATTTGGATAAATATATTTTGGTTTTTTTCTTGAAATATTAGACTGTGCCTTGTGGATTTGTTAGACTTGTAAGATGCAATGTCATTTGTTCTCCTTGTGATTTAAATGCTTAGTAAACTGTGAACTTCGCCCAGCTAGAAACTTAGAACTTCAATGACCAAACAGTTAATTAGTTTTAAAGTGACTTGGTGCAAAATTGGATTCAAATTGTTGAAATCTCAGTCTATTTCAAGATTCAAGTACTAACTAACTAACTAACTATAAAGTAGACTCTATACTTTGTACTACGCCTAGTTTGAATATTATTACAGTCCACTTGATTCAGTATTAATTTGTTTTATGATCAAAGAATTTAAATTCGTTAGCAATATCTCAACAAATCATTTATCTGAAAAGTCTGTAGAAACCAAGTTGTATTGACTATTAAATTATGTTTAGAGAGAATTGACGACTTGTATTGAACTGTAACTGAGAAATGGTTATAGTCTTTAAGTGATTCACGGACAAATTTGAATTGAAATTGACCAAAATGGAAATGTATTAAAAATATAATTAAGTGTTTTTGTAAGAAATTGTCATCAATGCGTGTAAAAATGTTGGAATTTTATTCGTATAATCACGGAATGGACGTGGATTATGGAGACTGTGATGTTTTTGTAAGTTTCCTGTATTTTGAAATGTTGAATGATATTATTGTTTACGCATGTTTCGGACGAATTAGAAGACCAGGTGACGTATTCTTGAAACGATCTTAGCACTAGGATATTCTACGAATTGTCAGTGTTAGAAATTAAGACTCTAGAAATCCTAGAAACAATGTAATAAGTTAAGATCCTAGGATATCATAGGGCTAAGAACATTTCAAGAATACATGGCCAGAAGTTTTCTTGATATATGGGTGGTACGGTCTGTATCATTTTAGGTTGTTTATCAAATTTTAGAAAAAATGTCAATGCAATTAATAATGTAGACCTTCAATACTCCAAATTTATAAAATTATATTTTTTGTATATTTCAGAATCCTGGGCAGAGTATTGTACGACCAATCGCCTTTAAGCCGATTAACACCAATAAGACTACAGGCAAGCAAATTAGTCCCCCTCAGCAAGGTAATCGTAGATTATCCAATCAGGATGAGGCCATCAGATCACAAGAATATCACATGACCAATTCGAGACCAAGGAATTTATCGCGTGGATCACATCATGGAAGCGATAAATCTGGCTCGGCAAGTTTTTCTAGCGATTTATCGCAAACTATTGGCCGTCCAGAATCTCTGCCTTCATTGAATCATAGTCGTTTATCATCCAATAACAACATGGAGAGTTACCTGACAACACCATCACCTAGCGACAGTGGTGTCGGGGAGTTGGAATTGATGCTAAGAGAAAAAGATGCAGAACTCAACACTTTGCGCGATGTGATGGATAAAAATGAACGTGCAATATTTCAGGTGTACGAGGAAAAGAAAAATGCGTGGTTGAAAGAAATTCGTGAAATGAAAGAGGATTATGATCGTAAATTAAAAATTCATCAACGTAAATCGTACAAAACGGAACAAGTCTTGTCGTTACAAGTTTACAAGCTACAACAAGAAAAAGAAGAGCTCACTTCTAATATGAACAAAATGGCGTGTGAGAAAGAGGTGCTGCGTCAACAATGTGCCTCTTTCGAAGACGAAATGAAAACACTAAGGTTGAAGCTAAACAATAAATCTACGACTTCAAGTCCGGAACGGTCGAGTGACGACAGTGTCAATCATTTACGACAGAAGGTCAAGGACTTAAGTGAGGAAGTTGCAGAGAAAAATCGCGAAGTTATGATGTTGCGTTCACATCTTCACGGCTCTGAAAACGAACTTCACAAGAAAAATACAGAATTGTCAAATAAATTCAAAGAAATAGTTTGTAAAACTGAAGAAGTGAAAGCTCTTAAAAATGAATTAGGACGTCTGTCAGCCGGTGAACCAGGTTTCAGGGAAATGGACACTCAGACAGACGATACAGATGGAGTTATTCCCCTTGCCTTGTTAAAACCTTCTCTCTTAACAGAGAAGAACAAAGTCATGAGCTCTTTACAAAATGAGGTCGCTAAAGTGAAAGAACAATTGGACGATTCTCATGGTACTTTTGAAAAAGAGCGGGAACAGTGGCTTGACGAGAAAAATAAGGTGATTCGCTATCAGAAACAGTTACAACTGAACTATGTGCAAATGTATCGTAAAAATCGTATGTTAGAAGCTGAGGTAGAGCAGTTGACTCTAGAACTGGAAAATCGGGATCTAAAATTAATGGCCCTGAATGGTGGAGAGGAGTCCGTGTGCTAGTTCTATTTCCTCTCATTCTTCGCCTGGTAATTGTATTTATCGTAAACACCGTATGTGAAGGAATATCATTTTAAAATATTAACAGTTGTGACTGCTGACCTCCAGTGATAATTAGCAATAATTGAAATTAGTGATTAGTGTAGATAATTCTGATAGGAAACAAGTGATATTAAATTTAAAATGTGGAAATTTTTGTTTTTAGGAAGCATATATAAAGGTCATCCTTTTATCATTTATTTTGATCTTCAATGATGAGCAACCATAAAAATTCTATGATAATTTGAGGTGATATTATTTAAAATTGATAAAGATCTATTTCCAGTTCTATTTAGGTGTTTAGCTATGATTACAATGTGAAAAGAACAATATCTAGAATTGATAGACTCATTTTACCAGCCATTTTGTTTAAAGACAATGATTATAAGACTTATGTGTGTTCTGTTTTGTTTTTGTTTCGTTTCTAACCCCTCTGTTTTGTTAGTTGTATATTTTTTGTGCCAAAGAAGATATCAGAAGCATTTTAATTAAAAACTGTTAAAATTTAAGAGTGTCCACGCAGTCAATCTGAACAGATTTTATCGCCATGCAAGATGGAAATTTGTAGCATGATGCCATATAAATATAAAAAATTCTTGCTAATATATGGCCAATCCATTTGCAGAATCGTGTCAAACTTTTAGAATGTGGAATATTCAAACTAAAGAAGGAAGACCCTGTATGCCACAGCTTGAGGGAAAAAACAATCAAGAATCAATCTTAAAAATGGCGTTCGGAACTTTTACAATCATTTTTAGTCCCTTTATAGTTTTTAGATGGTTACAGTGTTTTTCCATTTGTTTTAGAGTCATTTATTTTTTAGTTATAGAATCCAATTGGGATCTATTATTAATTTCCAAATATTGGAATCGGAAGTTTTGAATCCAAAATTTGAATTTTAAAACCTATATAAATGTTAAGAATCCAAAACACTCTCATTATATGTTATCAAAAGATTATTTCCAGTAATTTAAATCCAAGTAAAAGAATTTCATGTAAAATTTGTAAGGTCTCAATAGAAGAGGTATGGTGAAGTCTGCTATGCATCCACATGCTTGACCTATATTGTACTGTAATGCCAATCTAGTGCTGTACTAACTTATGTTATATTTCTACTGCATCTATTATCCAGCAGGAGCCGCGGTGGCTCAGTGAGTTAGACGCTTGCTCGCTAACCTGAAGGTCCAGGGTTCAATCCCGGCATAGGTCGAGATAATACCTTCAGATTTTTCAACCCGGTACCCCCTGTCAGTGATGCAGGTAAGAGGGACTGACATGGAAAAAGTGTTAAAGATCGCTGGAAAGAGCAGGCTAATGCCGCTGTCCTGGCAAAATTTCACTCATTGCACCCTGCACTGCGTTGCACAACATCCCATACCTTGTCTATTGACACCTTGGTTCCATCAAATATAACATTAACATATCTATAAAGTGTGGATGTTCAACCTGAAGACAAACTTTTATTAAGTGCTGTTTATTTATTCTGATAACCTGAAATCATAATGTATTTATATTCTTCTATCATTGATAAAAACTGTTAACTATCACTGCAGTGTTTTATACAGTGCTCCTTGCCAAGAATGTGAGACAAGTTGTCAATTATGTGCCTTTTCTAAACTCAAGAACTCAAGAACTTTAGGCTACGAAAGATAAGAACTCTTGGCAATGAAATAAGCATTCAGGGTCCTACAGCCAAAACTATTTTTATCATTATTAGTTATATAACAAATAACAAGGGAATATATTATGGTAAAACACAATTTTTTAATAACAAAGTACATAGCGTTTTCATCACAAATTAGCTTGTTATCATCAGCTTATATTGTTGAAACATTATATACTTTGTTATTAAATAGGTGTATTATACCATAGACCATTATATGTTCCCTTGTGGTATTTGTTATGTGAACTCTCTGCATCTAAATGTCACTCAAATCCTCTCTCATTAGTGCAGTTAAGTTAACAATGGTAATTATACATACTAATACATCAGAGTTAATTAAGATGTCAGTTGACGTCACAACTGTCGGTATTTGACGTCATAGTTGTCGGAATTCGTCACGTCAAGACAGTAGTAAATGAAGTAAACACTGCAGAATATTTTATGTCATGTCACCCCCGTGTTAGTTGACATAACGTAAATGTCACATGACTTGTTAAACATGTTTTCGTTACGAGCATCTGTAAAATTTCATTTCGATCTACATTATCAGCTGAGGCGCATTTTCACACGATTTACTTTCTCATTTTATATTCAGATCAGGGGCTCTCTATGTGTAACTTGTCCAGCTAAATTAAATCTTTGAATTCAAATTTTTCCAAATATTCACAAATTCACTGTTGATTTTGAACTTGAATTTTTGAAAAAATTCTGTATTTGAGTTTATTCGAAAAAAATTCTGTATTTGAGTTTATTTGAAAAAAATTCTGTATTTGAGTTTATTTGAAAAAAATTCTGTATTTGAGTTTATTCGAAAAAAATTAACAAACATGGATGGATGCTGAAAAGCTCTGTTTGAAATCGTGGCCTTAATTTATCTTTTTGAAATTTTAAGTAGCCTTAGCGATTTCTGTCACTTCAGATGACTGTATGCCTTATAAGGAGTGATCTAAAGTTTTGTATATTTGAATAATTGATTCTATTACTCTTTGAAATATTTAAATTCTCTGTGAAAGAGCCTCTCTTTAAAAAGTTTAACAATAGAATATACTAACGGCGGTAAACCAGATCTTTCTCTCAGTTTTTGTGTTATTCTTCGATGTAACATTTACTCAATTGAGAAAAGGGGGCCTGGTTTGATGGTAGTTAAGTTTTTGAGAGACTAAATTAGTCAATGAATGAATGAAAGATTGTTTTGGGTATCAGAAGACGGTTTAATTGTTACCTCAAATCAACAGCAACTAGAGATAAGTGATATTAGAATGAAGATATTTTCATATTCCCTCTTGTTTTATATCTTCCTTCAGAAACAGTTTATTATTTGTTTTCAATACCTCGGCCTCCCTTCAGAGAATCCACATAGCTATTTACTGGTCACCTTCCATAGAATTAACATAGCTTATATTTTATATTTAGGCTGCAGGCTTAGTTACTCTGGCATCTCTTTCAGAGAGTCCACATAGCTAATAATTTATATTCGATTTTTGGGCTGAGGGCTTTGCTAACATAGCATCCCTTTCAGAGAGTCCACATAGCTAATAATGTGTATTTTGGTATTCAGCTTTGAGTACTTGACATCCCTTTCAGAGAGTCCACAAACTTAAAATGTTAATTTGGTATTTGAGCTTTTCAACGTGACAAGTTATTCTAAACAGTGGATATAGTTATATACAGTATAAGGTATTGGAAACAATGGTATACTGTGGAAGAAGGAAAGATAACTCATGCAATATGTATTTTACTAACATTATTATTATTATTATTTTCTTCTCCACTGTAATATGGTCTAACTAGTCATCTGATATATATATATATATATATACTTTCAGTCCAATATACAATATTATACTCTTTATAATGTCTTCTTATTCAACCAAGGCCCCACATGCTACAGACTGTCAGCCTACACAGTCCTTTAACAGTAGACTTTTTCCCATGACATTGCTGGTCTTTATCAGTCCAATTAGAGCACAGAATTTAGATCTGATCTAAATGGCTTTCTGATGCATCTCGATAGGCCTCAATGGCTTACTGTCAAGTGTCAATAGGCCTCAATGGCTTATTGTCCAGTGTCAATAGGTTCCAATGGCTTATTGTCCAGTGTCAATAGGTTTCAATGGCTTATTGTCCAGTGTCAATAGGTCTCAATGGCTTATTGTCCAGTCTCAATAGGTTCCAATGGCTTATTGTCCAGTGTCAATAGGTCTCAATGGCTTATTGTCCAGTGTCAATAGGTTCCAATGGCTTATTGTCCAGTGTCAATAGGTTCCAATGGCTTATTGTCCAGTGTCAATAGATCTCAATGGCTTATTGTCCAGTGTCAATAGGTCCCAATGGCTTATTGTCCAGTGTCAATAGGTCTCAATGGCTTATTGTCCAGTGTAAATAGATCTCAATGGCTTATTATCCAGTGTCAATAGGTCCCAATGGCTTATTGTCCAGTGTCAATAGGTCCCAATGGCTTATTGTCCAGTGTCAATAGGTCTCAATGGCTTATTGTCCAGTATCAATAGGTCCCAATGGCTTATTGTCCAGTGTCAATAGGTCTCAATGGTTTATTGTCCAGTATCAATAGGTTCCAATGGCTTATTGTCCAGTGTCAATAGATCTCAATGGCTTATTGTCCAGTGTCAATAGATCTCAATGGCTTATTGTCCAGTGTCAATAGATCTCAATGGCTTATTGTCCAGTGTCAATAGATCTCAATGGCTTATTGTCCAGTGTCAATAGGTCCCAATGGCTTATTGTCCAGTGTCAATAGGTCTCAATGGCTTATTGTCCAGTGTCAATAGATCTCAATGGCTTATTGTCCAGTGTCAATAGGTCCCAATGGCTTATTGTCCAGTGTCAATAGGTCCCAATGGCTTATTGTCCAGTGTCAATAGGTCTCAATGGCTTATTGTCCAGTATCAATAGGTCCCAATGGCTTATTGTCCAGTGTCAATAGGTCTCAATGGCTTATTGTCCAGTGTCAATAGGTTCCAATGGCTTATTGTCCAGTGTCAATAGATCTCAATGGCTTATTGTCCAGTGTCAATAGATCTCAATGGCTTATTGTCCAGTGTCAATAGATCTCAATGGCTTATTGTCCAGTGTCAATAGATCTCAATGGCTTATTGTCCAGTATCAATAGGTCCCAATGGCTTATTGTCCAGTGTCAATAGGTCTCAATGGTTTATTGTCCAGTATCAATAGGTTCCAATGGCTTATTGTCCAGTGTCAATAGATCTCAATGGCTTATTGTCCAGTGTCAATAGATCTCAATGGCTTATTGTCCAGTGTCAATAGATCTCAGTGGCTTATTGTCCAGTGTCAATAGATCTCAATGGCTTATTGTCCAGTATCAATAGGTCCCAATGGCTTATTGTCCAGTGTCAATAGGTTCCAATGGCTTATTGTCCAGTGTCAATAGATCTCAATGGCTTATTGTCCAGTGTCAATAGATCTCAATGGCTTATTGTCCAGTGTCAATAGGTCCCAATGGCTTATTGTCTAATGGCTTGTATTCTACTGCAAAAATTCACTGCAACATTAACATCTAATAAAGGGAAGCAACTCCATTTTAAAACAAGACACAGAATACTTGGAGAAGTTTATTGTGGGCTGTATTATATCTGACACAATGAAAAAAAGAATTTTGAGAATACAGAAATATACTGGAGAAATTACAGATTATAAACCAAATCAATTCCAGATTAAATTGGATCTTCTGAATTTAAATTTGGAGGTAGAAATATAACACCTTCTATAAATATAAAACATAGCCAAAAAACAGTATTTCTCAATCCTTTAATAACATTTACTCAGTTATCGAAGAAATGTGCTATACCTTAATAAATGTTTGTGGTTTTGTTATGTGTACCCTGTTTCTAAATGTTATATTAGGGATAACTGATCACATCACCAATCTTTATCTCTTATAAATGTTATATTAACATTATACAATACGGACTCCATATTCTTCATATAAAATGTTAACCTTTTACAATACAATTGATATTTTTTGTGAAAAAGGAGCCAGATTTCCTCCCCAGGGATGTTCAGTTATTATAATCAGAGGAATACAGCTTTTTAACTTCTATCAGCTGAATAAACTAATATTTAGAAAAGCACACCACAACTCAAGCTCTATCAGGTAAAACAGTAAAACTAACTGTATCTCTATAATCTACAATCCAGAACCAGAAAAACATAAGAAAATGGTTTTGATTTTGAAAATAAATTCATGTGACAATTTGTTTTTGAAGTGTTTTAGAATACTTGACAAGTTTTGATGCTAATGGGCTAAAATCTATTGATCATGATTTAAAAAAAATTTGTGAGCTCATGAATGACTAATAAGCTGTAGAAAAAAACAACCAAAAACCCTTCTAGATCTGCATTTACATGAGTTTGATCAACAATATATAAAAAACACATAGCTTGACAAGTAACAAGCTCTTAACACAAATTGTTAAAATATCAAAACTGAAAACAGCAACAATATAACATTTCTTAATATCTGAATTGTTTACTTATGATTCCAGTTCTAAATTAGTTAAGACAATGCCTACAAGAGATTTCATTGTGGCTGGTAGACAGGATTCTCAAAGAATACTTAGTTGTTATCCATGTCAAATCAATGTCAAGGGGTTTAACTAAGGACTAGCTGAGGTACAAAATCTTGGAGAACCTACATATCATTGCACTTGAAGTTTGGAGGACTCCAAATTCTTACAACCTAACTTGTTCGTGTTTACAGAAAGAAGTCAAGGATATTAAACCATTGTAAAAATCCTTGAAAGCCTGTTATCCTTTTCCATAGCCTAGAAAATATCATGGCCAGGGACCAGCAGAGCAGGTATTAGAAATCATTGAGGATCAAATTTGTTTTTCTTGTTATTTCTAAGTTATTGTGGATTGACTTCTATTGATTTTGATTAACAATTGATAAACAAACATGATTTACCTGTTATATAAAACTAATTGAAAGCTTCCTTGTAATAAAAAATGGCCATCACACAATGACTGATTAGCAAAATAGAAAAAAAGACAAAAATAATTGTTCATGGACACTTTACAGCTGGTAGCAGGAGCCAGGAAAACTATGCTTTCTTAATCTGTTCTGTTAACCTTTTAGAGCATAGTTTTTTTGAATCTAGCTACACCAACATTTGTCATTAATATCTCACAGATATGAAAAAAGAGAAAAAAACAAATTTCTGGATATTCTAATAATAATAAATAAAATGCCAGATATAAATGTGGAGTTTTGGGTAACTATAAAAAAAAGTATCTTTAATGTAAAGGAATGTCAAGGTCAGGAAAAGTCAAGAAATAGAAAGAGGTTGACAATATAATGTAAAATCTTCTCTTAAAGGGACAGATGCGTCATTTTCTGGGGTTGATCTGAGTCTTGAATATATGTAAATATGCTTCAAAGTACTAGAAATGTACAAAAATTGCATAATTCCTTCAATATCTCAAACTAGGCTCTGTCTCTTTTTATGGCAGTGTCTCAAGAAAAGGCGAGTCGTTACTTTAACTTTCAAACGCAGATAATTCTGGACACACATAGATTTAAAGGCTCAAATTTAGACGGTGAGCTGTGAACACTATTACTGATTGGCTCAGCTAAAAAATTCCTGTTTCTGAGACTAAGGTACGATTGGTCAAAAAAAAATGGCACACTTGTCCCTTTAAGAATACATATCAAAAATTTACTTCATACATAATCTAACATAAATAGTATTCTATGAAAATATAAAACAGTCCTCATTTGTTCTGAAGTTAAATAATTCTCGGGACAGTCTCTTTTATATTGAATTGAATTTAAATATTATTTCAACTGGGTCTGAATTCAATCAATAGAGGTTGAAATAGTATTTAACTTATTACTTTCTGCACTGTTAATAAAGATCTACAGTCAGTTGAAATAATGGAAATTTTGATTTTTAAATATAAACAGATTTTAGAAACTTACCTTCATATTTTTATCTGGCTTTTCCTCTATTTTAATTTCATTTGAAAACAACATTCCGGACTCCTCTGTGCTGGTTACCAGACTTACAAACATAACTACTCATTGGAAGACTCTACAATATCACTCTTATATCACTTTTACCTTGCTATATAACAACACTGACTAGATCAAATCTTTATGCTCTACAGAATTCTTTCTTAAAAACATTTTCTCAGAACTTAACAGTTTGCAGGTGTGTAAATTGATGAGGGCAATGAAGTACCTAAAGCCCTAATTCACAAAATTTAAACTATGATACAATCTAAATATCAAGAAATACAACAATTTGATTGGTTAATTCAAATAGATTTAAAATCCATTTTATTGATTGACCAATCAGTTGACTGAAATATTAAAATTATATTAAGTTTGGATATAAAGAAACTGGTCTGTCAAATCTCTTTGAAGCTTTTGGCAATAATCTTGGCAAAACAAACCCAACATTTATCTGTAATTGTAATTGACTTTTTCTAAATCATATATCAGCCTTACTTCTTCAAATTTAAATTACAACTTCTCTAGTTCACAACAAAGCTAGACCCATTTCGATAAAAACTTTTTGATAATATCCAAACTCAATCATCGCCCAAATCACTCACAAATAACATGAAGTAATCAGATTTATCATCAAACAGAACAACTCTTAAAGACAGAACAAAGCTTAACGACACAACAATTCAAAAACAGTTCACAGGAAAAGCTAAAAAAATACAAAATATTCAAAAATTGTTCTAGTACAGTACAGCACATTCATTTCTACAATTAACCAATGAGATCTCTAGATTCTGAATACACCACATTGATTGGTTGATCAGTTTTGTTCAATGGTAGCCATGGTAATACATGTTAGGGGTATAAACACACGTGTCTAACTGTCCAATGAGAGTATCTGATACAGATGAGAAAAGTTACGTTGATGATGATCACCTAGATCTAACGTTGCATCATGTTGCGTTTGAATTCGTAACTTCTTTCCCGTAGGTTGTAGCTAGTGACTGAGAGACGTATCGCCAATATTCTCGACGTATCGTATCGTATTCGTCTGCTAGAGAGGTACATAACTGAAATAAAAATATCAACATAAAGACATCAAGAGTTCAAAAAATATAAAATTGAAAGAAAAAAGGGCTGTAACTGCAATGTTCGTTGGATAGGACTTTAAAGCAATACTGGTGCAGAAGACGACGTAAAATTCCATTCATTTCATTTCATTTAAACAATACCCGTACTGTTAGTATAACACTAATCTTAGGGAATTATAGATATCAGTTTATACTGTATATACTTATTCTGTTTCCTATCATTAATATTTTATACTTGATAAAGATTCCTGTATGTGAATTGAAACGTTGTAGAAATTAAAGAAAGGAGTAGTATATCTATAATAGTGTTTTTATTCATTTAATATTCTATCTACTTCTAATTGGTATTTAAAGATTACAATACTGTTTCCGTTGATAAAAGTAATATTTTTGTAAATTAACAATGAACAGACTCCCTCCACCCCCTCCTCTGTGCTCTGTTTGATACCAAAAAGCATTTCAATATTAATAAACAAGGGCAATTACTCTGTATCTAAAAACCTTCAAACACTTTGATAGAATAAGAGATTATAAATCTATATTTATTATTATTATAAAGCACTCACCTCTAATGCTCTGTTTAAAACCTCTTCTTTCTTTCCTTGTCCTAACTCTAGTAGTTCTTCTTGAATATCAACCATACAGGCTAGTAGATAGGGTGAACGATACCTATTGTTATACAGTTCCGTACAGAAACCCAACAAACCTGGGTATTTACTCAACTCTCGATCACTTAGTACCCTGAAATATATAAACCATATAAATATTATTAAATAGTAAATATAGTATCCTGATGACTACATTAATAATAATACAAGATATAAAGTCAGTTAGTTGAAGTATTTCTCAGTAATACAATATTATCACACTAGTATTACATGCATGAATCATTGGGCGATCATTTCTGATGCTAGTAAAGTCCAGAGAGGAAGATGTCTCATGTCATAACTGCAAGATACAAAACATCATATTGGACCATATCTTATCACACGCATCAATTTCTTGATATATCAAAGTATTGTTACACCCCAGACAAATTAAATATTATTATCATCAGAACAAACGAAGATATCTTACCCTTTAAGAAAATTCCAAGCACTCTCATTTCCAGGAGCTTTTCTGATGATGTCTTGAGTATATCTGAAAAATAATTATTAATATTTACTACAAAATATTCACAGCAAAATATAAAAAACCTTGTTTAAGCACATTTATATAAATTGTGTAGTTTGTTACCTATAGGATTTCAAACTTCAATTGTACAGCCTTCAGACAATTCAGGCCATGTATTCTCGAAAGGATCTTAGCGCTAGGATATCCTAGAAATAGTGTTAAAAGTTCAGACCCTAGGACATCCTAGAAATAGTGTTAGAAGTTCAGACCCTAGGACATCCTAGCGCTAAGATCCTTTCGAGAATACGGGGCCCGATGTTTTTTTTAAGCCATTTAAAGATAAAACTTATACCAAGTTTCTCTGACATGTATCCGTGACACAGGGAACTTTGGAAAAACTAAACTCTATATAGTTGTTGATTTAAATCCAGATATAGCTGTTACCAGCTGACATGCATCTTTCCGAGACTTTGCAGTGCTCTAGGTGACCTACTTTCATTGAAAGGAATAAAAGAACCTACTTGGCCTCTCTGTCCACCACCTCATCAGTAAAACCTGTAGTATTTTTTATAACAAAATATCTTTGATTCCAGGCCGAGTTGTTTCTTAAATCTTCTTTGAGCAATTTATCAATATAGGCCAATTCTTTATCCCATAGATCAAACTCTTGTATCACCCATTGTCTGAATGAATGCATAAATGGATGAATGAATGAATAAATGAATGAATAAATGAATGAATAAAAAAAGACAAATTATAACAGTAATTATCCTTTAAAAGCAGCAAAAAGATTCAATGGTGTTTGTTTCTGAGTGCTATCATTTTTTCCTGCAATCAACAACAATACAGGACAGATATTGGAAATTGTGGTCCATTTCTACATTAACTATACTATTAGATATGTTTCTACAGATATACTATAATGATACTAACCTATGCTGCCAGGCATGGTAATTTTTTGAGTCTTGACGAAGTATTTTCTCGGTGAAGTTTAACTCAGTGGAAGGATCTCGTAACCAGTCTATAAGAACTCTTCTATGATGCCTGAAACAGAAGATTTTTATTATATTTAACAGCCAAATTCTAAGAGATGTGGAACTACTTTAAAATACCTCAGGTACTGAATTAAATGGTGTGTATAGAAAAAACTTAAAATAAGTATTGCACTCACAAGTTCATTTGTGTAATCTGACAAATACTGGGACCGTAAAAAAATGTCGGATTACAAAATATACAACTCTAAAATCATAATGGAGCAAATCTCGTGATAATGAAGCCACATTTTAATTCACAATCTATTCTATTTGGGAGTGGAATACTAAAGAAATGAATCTCTGTTTGCCCCTTATTAAGGCAATGAGGGAGTTGGTCAGGTCAGAAGAATTTTCACCTGTGGAATTACTTTTATAATGCACAGTCTGTAACGTATGGTTTAGATTTGGTAGTGTAATAAAATGTTACAAGAAAGACAGTAACTTGTTATATTGTTTTACAGGTGATTAAACTAGAGTAGGGTACTGTCAATATAATGTTTTATCATCATCTTTAATATTACTATTAAATGTTCACAGTAGAGGTTCTGGCAGTGGGCCTAAATAATAAATACATTCTGGATCCTGTTTGTTTTAATATTATAATGGTGATATTGTGTCAGTATTACCCAATAGTCTGGTTAAGATTACCTGATCCTAATCAAGACAAGACTGTCAATATAAGTTATCTAATTCATCTATCATGTCTGTTTACCAATAAATTCCCTGGGATCATGATTGACGAGTTTCTTCAGTTAGCTCTGTACAAATTCTAACCAATCTAAACAACACTTTACTTCGTTACCAGGTCAAATCTGTAAGCTTATGCTCCAGAATTGGATCTGAGAAGTCATTCTTCCCTCTTAGCACCCCACCTACCAATCCCTGTATCTGACCCCGCCTGACCCTAGCTAGTCAGACACATCAGTTATCTATCCTACCTATTTGATAAGATCTGACCTCAGATGGCTCAATACACATCAATATCAACATCAAAACAACTACCTGGGGTTTATTGATTTAAATAAGACAGGGAATAATCTATATTGGAGTCAGTTAGGCTTTTTCTTGATTAAAAGCTTGGACAAACATATCTACGTATATGTATAAACTAAGAACAAAAGAATTGATGGTTTGATTTTGAAACTGTGAGATCAGTAAAGATGTTAATCCTAGAGTAGTTTAACACTTTGTTGATAAAATCTCATATCCCTGTCATAGATTTAAACTTTCCTCATTAGATTATATCAAATGGTCATGGTTCATTCTCGAATAAATTGATTGTCACGTCTCCATTTTCATTATTTTAAAGGGATAACTTTATTTCCAAGCAGTCAACCAAGTTTTCATCAGCAGTTATGATTGAAAACATCATAATACAGGTCATAATGCCCTGTAAGTGATGTCAGTTAAAATAACAACTCTGTTTTCTTGGAGAGCCATAACAATAGAATAAAAACTTTGTATAATCTTAATTTATGAGATGTTTATAATATATGAAAACCCCTGTGGTTATATTTCAACTCATCTTGAATAAAAGATGAATAAAACAATAAAACGAATTAATGTATTAAAAATGTAAACTTCTTAAAACCAGTTAGTATCTGATTACCAGCATATTATATTCTAAAATCAGGATTCAATCAAACAGATTGTGTAGTCTTTGTATGGGTATCAGGAACATTTATATAGTTTCTATTAGCATCATTATTCACACAGACAGAAAACAATACTTATAGTCACATATATACTCAAATTACAACATTGATTGCAGTTATAAAAAAACTCTCAAATTTCCCCAAAATTGTCAGTCAAATATCATTTTTTAAGATTTGAACGACATTTAGAAGTGGAGAGTTGATATAACAAAAAACATAAGGGGTATATTATGGTATAACTCACTTCTTTAATGTTTACACCCACTACTTCATTTCATCTGACGACACGTGTAAATTGTGTTGAAACATTATGTGCTTTTTA